TTTATTTTGGCTAACAAGGCATTTTAAAGTTAGAAAACGTATTCAAAAATTTAAATTACGTATTTTAAAATTTGTCTGAATGTTTCTGAAGTCGCTAATTATGATCTTGACATTAGTTTGTAATCGTAATCATGGGTCTAAAAAACTTCTTCGAAACTGACTTTGAATAAAGTCTTTGAAATGTCTGCGATTTCGGTCCGCCATTTTGAATCTCGCAAAACTAATGTCAACATCATAATTAGCGACTTTAGAAACATTCAGACAATGAAATTATAATAGAGTAATGTCGTAAAAGCTGTAAAAGAATGACGCTCAGGAGTAGCGTTAGTTATCATTGTGCTATAGAGTGTTAAATGTTTTTTAACCTTAAAATGCCTTGTTAGCCAAAATAAAAAAATACGTGTCTAATGTTTTTCGATGTACTACATGTGTGTAAAGTTTCAAGAAGATCGCACTTGGGTAGTGTTACTTGTAAGATAGGGAATAGGTATTAATAATAATAATAATTGTTAATAATAATTGGGATAAAGAGTCGGGAAGAGATTTGACGTGGAAGGCTGATTTACCACGTACGATAGGCCGGCGATTGCTCACGGAATTGCTCACGTGCGTTTGACACTGCCAAACATTATTTATCCTTCTCCAGTATAAATTCAATTTCGCACTAACTTTCCGCGAACGGACAAAAATGCCCGAGCGCGTGCGCGGGAATTGCGCGGCGCTAAATTGGGCTATTTCGTGTGCGAAATGCGGCGCTCTCTTTTTCTCCGAAGATATGTTGTTGCCGTCACAGCGGGTATCGAGCCGAGATTTCCCCGCGGAGCCCCATACGTTGTTTTCGGGGCATATCTTTCGTCTCGCATGCAAATTTCATCACATGATCCGTGACACCGCGTCGAGCCCGCGTGCGCGCGCTTTATCGAGTGCCGCACAGCCGCTGAAGACGAGGGCCATCGTAAATTTCTAGCGCGAGCGCGAAATGGACAAACGATTTATATCGATATCGACATGTGTCCGCGCCGTAGCTAAGCGGCCGAAATTAATGGGCCGGAGCGATCAGTTCTCGAACTTGCCGTAATCGCGACTGTCACGAATTTCGGACACGGGATCGGCGCGATGCGGGAGGGCGCGCGGAGTGCAGATTTATCGTAACCATCGGAACATTAAATTCTCCCGTCGGGGGCTGTAGAGATTTTCGTCGGAAATTGATAGAATCTTCCAAGTTATCGGGCTCTGTAATCAGCTATTTATAGCTTCGTTAAATATTCAATTGGACATAGCAAATATTTTCGGCGATGTTTGTCGTGAATTTCGAACTGCTATCTTATTTGATAACAATTTCATTGGAACGCGTGCCTCGGATAGGAGGAAATAGCACGTCGGACATATCGTGTTTAATGTTAACTATTTAGCGAATTAGCCAGATGATGATTCGGCGATGATCTCGTAGTCTGGTTTCCGCTAAAATTGCCCGAGCAGCGAGTGTGTTCGATGATGAGGCGATCGTTAGAGTCAATATTCCTTTCGCACGCTTGTCAAAATTATATGTATCTACGCGGATCACGAATTTGCAAATCGAGGTAGCGCGATCGTACTCGCAGCGCGACCGTGCTCACATCGCGACCGGTCGTCATCTACAGTCCGTCGAATCGGGCTTACACACGCGCAAGAGAGCAACTATCAATCAGTGCAATCATCGAAATGGCGGCGGCAGCGGGATCAGTCGCCGCTGTCGGCGGAATAACCCCTGCGCCACGTTACGACCCTCTCAATTCCACTTAGCCCTGGCTATTGCGTTGCAATCGATTCGTGCGCGGCTTCCGTTCAGCATCACAGCGCATCCGCCGTTTCAAAGTGCGCGCCGTTAAAATCGACAAGCGGGCTGCGCGAAAATGGTCCGCATTGACAATATTCCCGCGGATTTTTCATCTCTCTTGTCTGTCCTTCTTGATCCACGACCACGTGGGCAAGCTTCCTGCGAAAAGTGATTGCGAGTGACGGAAATGAAAATCGCCACGCGATTTTGCCCACGTAAACGTGTCTCTCTCGCTATTCGCATCGTACACGCCGCGCCACATTTTAGGACTAACTCATTCGCGACTGTTGTGCACGTGCAATCGGATCACACTGGCTTCCGCTTATATTGGACAGCGGCTAGCATTCTCGCGCGCGAAATACGTGTCATTAAAGTCGACAGGTTCGACGCGAAAACGCGCGCGTTCCATCGAAAACATCTCCATGTAATCGAACTAAATTTCGCGTTGACCGGCCTCTGATACGCGTTTAACGGTCCTTTGGACTCCCAATTATTCGGCATGTTTGTCAAGAACAATACGATGTAACCCAATTTACGCGAGCGGCAAATAGGTGCAATTTAAATAATAACACTGCATACTAATAACGCGATTCCGGAATAACGAACGGAATTCCGCAACGGAACCACTTAATCTGTAAATTAGAATTGAATATTCTGTCTTATTCGCAACGTCTTTTCGTTGTAGCAAATTTTAACAAAGGTTTTACGACGCTTCATGTAAGTTCAGATAGCGGGAAAAAAAGAGAAAGAAAGAGTGCATAAATCCGGCAGAAAAATTGTGGTGATCGAACAGCATAGTTGATGATAGATTTGCATGGCGTAATTAAATTTGCTATTTTAAAAGGGACGTTATAATTATTTTATAGAAGCACCCTTCATCTTTATCTCAGTAAACTCTGCTGTTACATTGAAAGGAAATGGTTATTAAATTGAAAGCACTCCCTCTTCAATTTTTTGAGCGATCTCTGTAATATTTTTGTGAATTTCTTCGTGTTTTACCCGGAGCGTACAGTTGCCGGAAATCCCCTAGCGGTTTATTTTGCGACAGCGATGTGTTCGGCTTGTTTGCCGTTCGATGCATCGAAAACGACGGACGAAATGGCCCGGGAATCGGTGAAGTTAAAGGGTTAAACGACGACAAACGTAACCTCGGCGACCTTCCGGTAGCGTCAATATTTTTGCCAATTTTTCCATAGCAGTTTGCGCGATGAAAATGACAGAGCTTCGTTCCATTTTTGTCGGTGCACGCGACGTTATTGCCGCAGCTTCATTCGTTATAGAGGACCTATAGGCATTCGATATTACGTGCTCTTTGATAAGGGCTGTGAGCCCAACGCGGTCCGGCCGAATGTGATTCCTCGTGCCACGTTGACTCATGTGACTCACGCGACAATGGACGTTCTTTCTTCTCCCGCTTATATCCTTCGTTTCTTTTTCTTTCTTTTTTTTTGTTATTCTCCTTCTCATTCCTGCGCGTCGCACAGTCGCCAAATGTGGCCGGCCATTATAACGACGATCCTTTTCATCGCAAGAAATTGCCAAAGATACGTCCTATATAAAACGAGCCAACGTCTTATGAAAACGTGACCGCATTGTCCAAGCCACAATTAGTCGCATCCTGGGCGTTTCACGTTGGGAACGAAGGAGATTGAAAAATAAGGTCGCACGTGTCGCGAAATCACACGCGTTGGTATGGCCGATTATTACCTTCCGTCACCGATTCGTAGACGTCCTTTCAATCCTTTGTAATTCCACACGATCGAGTCACGAGAGTCTACTCGCGTCCGAGAGAGCGCTCAGAGAGAAGAGACATATGAAAGTTGTCGCGCTTCTTTCGAATCGTGAAACAATCGACAGGCCTTTGAGCGGACGATATTTCGAGCGGATATTGCAATCGCGACAAATGGACACGAATGAAAATCGGACGACTGAATTTTCTACACATGGAGGCACGTAGGTTGCAAATGACAAGGTCGCGTAGAATCGTGCTTTTCGCTTAATATGTATTGGCGGCTGTTCACAACTTTCCACGATGAAAGGCAGCGGTTCGCGTATCTTAATCGACGGAGATGTGTAGCGCGGCAGTCATCGATTGCTTTGTTATTTTTCGTGTATCGCGCATCATATGAAGATAGTGACATTTTTATCGTTTCGTTAAAAAAGAGAGAGAGAGAGAGAGAGAGAGAGAGAGAGAGAGAGAGAGAGAGA